GATTAGTGTCTGTGTCCATGGGTTATGCTTATAAACATATAAGTTCTTTGATTAATCTCTCCCTGCCCATTCCCCACTCCCCACCTTCCCTCTGAGATCCCTCAGTCTGTTCCATGCTTCTATGTCTCTGGATCCATTTTGTTCATTGGTTTATTTTGTTTATTACATTCCACATGTAAGTGAGATCATGTGGTACTTGTCTTTCTCTGACTGGCTTATTTCAGTTAGCATAATACTTTCTAGTTCCCTCCATGCTGTGCCAAAGGATAAAAGATCCTTCTTTCTTATAGCTGCATAGTATTCTATGGTAAAAAGGTACCACAGCTTTTTTATCCACTCACCTACTGATGGGCACTTGGGCTGTTTCCAGATCTTAGCTGTTGTAAATTGTGCTGCTATGAACATAGGGGTGCATAAGTTCTTTGTGATTGCTGTTTCAGGTTCCTTAGGATATATTCCTAGAAGTGGGATCACTGGGTCAAATGGCAGGTCCATTTTTAATCTTTGGAGGAAACTCCATACTGCTTTCCATAGTGGCCACCTGAATGGTGTCTCTCTGCAAGATGCATGTATAATTTTTCAGTCTTTATATTCACTCATTCTAAACATAATTTTTTTATTATTTCTTTTTAACTTATTGTAAAGTAAGCTCTTTACAAAACAAGTATATTAATGGAAAAAATGTGTAATAGCAATATGACTAAAAAGCCATTTAGGTAACTATGTCAGCCTGATAGTAAATTAGATAACTTTGATGGATTTTGATACGCATTAACAATTGTGTACTTGTTTTTAATAAAAATGATCTTGATCCATTTTAAGGAGAAAATCAAGTATATGTTGGCAGAATTTCAAGGACTGTTTTTTACTTTTAGTGTACTACAAGCTTGGCCTCCTTAGCTCTGATCTTTTATGTATGTTAAGAAATAATGACTAAAATGCTTTAAATTGCACTGACTTCTTTTTTATTAATATTTAAAAGCCAGTGATTTAGCCCATGAACTGGAGTAGAGCTAGAACTCACATATAGGTTTCCCTGCTATTCTAAAGTAGAACATTTCTGTGAAAACTTTCATAAGCCAAAATGGTGTAAAGTGAAGAAGCAGTTAACATTAATTTATATGGGAAATTTTTTGAGCATTCCCAGACCCCAAAAATAATTGACCAAATTATACCAATTAACACATAAAACCTAAAATAACTAACATATAGTAAAAGCAGGAATGATACGATAAACACACAGCCCGTATAAAGTAGAAATAATGTACAAAGTAGTTTCTTCTTTTTCTTTATTTTTATTCTTGATACTATTATAGATGTCCCTAAATTCCTCCCCTTTGCCCGCCTCCACCTAGCCCCACCCCCCTTCCCTCTGGCCATCACCACACTGTAGTCTGTGTCCTTGGGCCATGCATATATGTTCTTTGGCTAATCCCTTCACCTTCTTTAATCCAGTACCCCCAACCCTCCTCCCCTCTGACAGCTGTCAGTCTGTTCCATGTATCCAGGCTTCCATTTCAATTTGTTCGGCAGTTTATTTTGTTCACTAGATTCCACATATAAGTGAGATCATATGGTATTTGTCTTTCTCTGACTGGCTTATTTCATTTAGCATAATAATCTCCAGGTACATCCATGCTGTTGCAAAAGGTAAGATTTCCTTCTTTTTTATGGCTGTGTAGTATTCCATTGTATGAATGTTCCACAGCTTTTTTATCCACTCATCTACTGATGGGCATTTGGTCTATTTTCCAGATCTTGGCAAATAATAATACTGCTATGTACCTAAGGGTACATTCATTGTTTCGAGTCAGTGTTTTGGAATCCTTTAGCAGGATATATTCCCAAAAGTGGGATCACTGGGTCAAAAGGCAGTTTCATTTTTAATTTTCTGAGGAAACTCCATACTGTATCCACAATGGCTGTACCAGTCTGCATTCCCACCAACAGTAAACAAGAGTTTCCTCTTCTCCACATCCTCACCAGCACTTGTTTGTGGCATTATTGATGGCAGCCATTCTGGCAGGTATGAGGTGTGATATCTCATTGTGGTTTTATTTTGCATCTCTCTGATAGTGACTTTGAGCATTTTTCATAATGTCTATTAGGCATCTGTTTGTCCTCTTTAGAGACATGTCTATTCAGGTCCTTTGCCCATTTTTTAATTGGATTGTTTGTCTTCCTGGTGTTAAGTCATATAAATTCTCTCTATATTTTGGAAATTAACCCCTTATCAGATAGATGTATCATTGGCAAATATGTTCTCCCATATAGCGAGCTCCCTTTTCATTTTGTTGAAGGTTTCTTTTGCTGTGCAGAAGCTTTTTAGTTTGATGTAGTCCCATGTGTTTATTTTTTTCCTTTATTTCCCTTGCCCTAGGAGACATATCTACAAAAATATTGCTACCAGAGATGTCTGAGATTTTACTACCTACGTTTTCTTCTAGGATTTTTATGGTTTTGCAACTTACATTTAAGTCTTTTATCCATTTTGAGTTTATTCTTGTGTATGGTGTAAGTTGGTGGTCTAGTTTCATTTTTTTGCATGTGCCTGTCGAATTTTACCAACACCACTTATTGAAGAAACTATCTTAACCCCATTGTATGCTCTTGGTTCCTTTGTCAAATATTAATTGACCATAACGGCATGGGTTGATTTCTGGGCTCTCTGGTCTGTTCCATTGATCTATATGCCCGTTCTTATGCCAGTACCAGGCTGTTTTGATTACAATGGCCTTGTAATATAGTTTGATATTCAATATTGTGATAGCTCCAACTTTGTTCTTTCACAAGATTGCTGAGGCTATGTGGGGTCTTTTTGGTTCCATATAAATTTTTAGAATATTTGTTCTAGATCTGTGAAATACGCCATTGGTATTTTAATAGGAATTGCATTGAATCTATAGATTGCTTTGGGTAGTATGGACACTTTAATGATGTTAATTCTTCCTATCCATGAGCATGGTATATGCTTCCACTTATTTGTTTCTTCTTCAATAACTTTTTTCAGTGTCCTACAGTTTTCTGAGTATACGTCTTTTACCTCCTTTTATGAAATGTATTACTAGATACCTTATTTTTGTTGTTGTTGCAATAGTAAATGGGATTGTTTCCTTAGTTTCTCTTTTTGATAGTCCATTACTGGTGTGTAGAAATACCACTGATTTCTGAATATTAATTTTGTATTCTACTTTGCCAAATTCATTTATTAGATCTAGTAGCTTTTGGTGGAGTCTTTAAAGTTTTCTATGTACAATATCATGTCATCTGCAAACAATGACAGTTTTACTTCCTCCTTTCCAATGTTGATGCCTTTTATTTCTTCTTGTCTGATTTCTGTGGCTAGGATTTCCAGTGCTATGTTGAATCTGGGCGGTGAAAGCGGAAGAGACATCCCTGTCTTGTTCTTAAGGGAAATGCTTTTAGTTTTTGCCCATTGAGTATGATGGTAGCTGTCGGTTGGTCACATATGACCTTTATTACATTGAGGTCTGTTCCCTCTATTCCCACTTTGCTGAGAGATTTTGTCGCAAATGGGTGCTGGATTTTATCAAATGCTTTTTCTGCATCTATTGATATTATCATGTGGTTTTTATTCTTCATTTTGTTTATGTGGTATATCATGTTTATTGATTTGCAGATATTGTACCAAGCTTGCATCTCCGGGATAAATCACACTTGATCATGGTATATAATGATGATGATGATGATGATGATTTTGGTTAATCCTCACCTGAGGATATTTTTCCATTGTTTTGTTTTGTTTTGTTTTTTTAGAGAGAGTGGAAGAGAGGGAAAGCGGGGAAGGGGGGAGGGATGGAGGGAGGGGGAGAGAGAGAGAGAGAGAGAGACAGACAGACATAGACTCTCCTGCACACACCCTTACTGGGGCTGAGGATCGAACCCACAACCCACACATATGCCCTTGACAGAATTGAACCCATGACCCTTCAGTGCATGGGTCAATGCTCTAACCACTGAACCACACAAGCCAGGGCTGATCATGGCGTATGATCTTTTTAATGTATTGCTGGATTCAGTTTTCTAATATTTTGTTGAGGATTTTGGCATCTATGATCATCAGGGATGTTGGCCTATTATTTTCTTTCTTTATAGTATCTTTATCTGGTTTTGGAATTAGGGTGATGCTAGCCTCATAAAAAGTGCTTGAGAGTCTTCCCTCCTCTTGAATTTTTTGGAATAGTTTTGAAAAGGATAGGTGTTAGTTCTTTGAATGTTTGGTAGAATTCGCCTGTGAAGCCATCTGGTCCAGGACTTTTATTTGTTGGGAGTTTTTCTATTACTGCTTCAGTTTCACTAGATGTAATCAGTCTATTCAGCTTCTCTAATGTTTTCCTGATTTAGTTTTGGAAGATTGTATGTTTCTAGGAATCTATCTGTTTCTTCCAGATTGTCCAATTTGTTGGCATATAGTTGTTCGTAATATTTTCTTACAATCCTTTGTATTTCTTTAGTGTCTGTTGTTACTTCTCCTCTTTCATTTCTGATTTTATTTATTTGGGTCCTCTCTTTTTTTTTTTTAATGAGTCTGGTTAAAGGTTTGTCAATCTTGTTTATCTTTTCAAAGAACCAGCTCTTGGTTTCATTGATCTTTTGTAGTGTTCTTTTAGACTCTATTTTATTTCTGTTCTGATCTTTATTATTTCCTTCCTGCTACTCACTTTGGGCTTTGTTTATTATTTTTCCCCCCAGTTCCTTTAAGTGTAAAGTAAGATTGTTTATTTAAGTTTTTTCTTGTTTCCTGAGGTAGGTCAGTAATGCTCTGAATTTCCCTCTTAGGACTGCTTTCGCCATGTCCCATAGATTTGGAGTGGGTATGTTCTCATTTTCATTTGTTTCAAGGTATCTTTTGATTTCTTCCTTGACCTCATTGTAAACCCATTCATTGTTGAATAACATGTTATTTAGCCTCCATCACTTTGTTTTCTCAGCTGCTTCTTGAGGTTGATTTATAGATTCATATCATTATGGTCAGAGAAGATGCTTGATATCATTTCAATCTTCTTAAATTTATTGAGACTTGGGTCTATCCTAAAAAATGTTCCATGTCCCATGGACACTTGAAAAAAATGTATATTCTGCTGCTTTTGGGTAAAATATTCTGAAGATATCAATTAAATCTATCTGATCTAGTGTGTAATTTAAGGCCACTATTTCCTTGTTGATTTTCTGTCTTGAAGACCTATCAATTGATGTCAATGGGGTGTTAAAATCCCCTACTATGACTGTATTACTATCAATCTCTCCTTTTATATGCATCAAGATTTGATTTACATATTTAAATGCTCCTGTGTTGGGTGCATAAATGTTTATCAAATATATCCTCTTGTTGGACTGCTCCTTTTATCATTATGTAGTGTCCTCCTTTGTCTCTCACTGTAGCCTGCAGTTTTCCCACTCCACATAATAATGTGGCTGTTTGGCCAGACCTCCAAACTAGTTGGCAGCATTGTGCTGGATAGGAACACTACACATTTGCCTCCTCTATCAGGCTGTGAGCTCTTCTGGAATTGGTTTGGGCAGCTCACTTCTCACTTCTAAGGGAGGAGTAATTGGGCAGCTCCTGGCGGCACTGGTTCAGTCTGTGCTAGTGAAAAAGGCAATGCTCAAAATTCAAATTGATCCATTTTAAAATCTCATCTTAATCTAAATTCTGGGAGACTTCAAGACAGGGCCAGAATTATTGTGATCATGGCCAGATGAGGGCAGCAGAGAGCAGCTTAGAGATCTTCACATGGCCCACCCCTTCTCCTCCTCCTCAAATTCTTAGCTCAAATATCTTCTCTGAAAGATCTTACCCAAGATCTTTCTTAAGTAGCCCCCACTCCATTCCTTATCTCAAACCTCTTGTTTCTTCAAGGCACTTATCAGTTTAGAAATTATTTTATTTACGTCTTATTATATTGTTTTGTCCAACTCCCTTGTAATATAGGCTCCATGACAGCAGGAACCCTGCCTCTTTCACGTCTGTATCCCTAGTTACGAAGTTATCGCAGTAGTCCCACCGAGAGATGATGGTGATTTGGAGTAGGCTAATCACAGTGGCGATGATAAAATAGGGTCATATTCAGGATGTATTTTAGATGCAGGGCCAAATGGACTTGCTGAGGAATTAGATATTGGTGAAGAAGAGAGGAGGCAAGGTTTATTCCTGGGGTCTTAACCTAAGCTACTAGTCACATGGTGGTACCATATACTAAGATAGAAAACACTCAAGAGGAACAGGTTTAGGGGCAGGCATTGGTTAAGTTTGAGAGGCCTATTACATATGCGAGGGAGCATATCAAGTAGGTAGCTGGATATATCTGGCATAGGTATTATCCAGATAAGTTGAGTAGAGAAAAAGTCTAGAAATAAAATGTTGGAAGATGTGTGTGTGTGTGTGTGTGTGTGTGTGTAATATTTTGTATTGTATATTGCCAAAGGACCAGATGAAATTACCTAGGCATAGTGTGCATGGGAACCAGAGAGCCAAAGACTTAGTCCTGGAGCCACCCAACTTTCAAGAGTCTGTCAGAGGAAACAGCAGCAGCGAAGAAAACCATGAAGCAGCACCCAAGGTGCAGGAGACAAGAAACATGTAGTTTTACTGAAGCCAAAAGAGAAAGAGCTTCAGAAACGCAGGACTGCTCTACTAATACATCTTTCAGCCAGCATAAATCCATAATAATAAAAGAACTATTAATTTTATGTTTCAAAGTTTAGCATCTCTTTTATTGATTGAATAAGTGTGCCCAGTTTGAACCATAATGGTTCCTATATGACAATATATATTTAGGGGGAAAAACATAAAATGTGGGATATAACTATTATATGTAACTTTTGTTCTTCAGCATTTTAAGGAAAATCTGTTATTTTCTGTGTATGTATCCTGTATCCTCATATAGGTTTAATTCCTGCTATGAATTAATTCTATCACGTTTTTGTTCATGGGACTTCAGAACATATGGTATTACAGGAGTGAAAGTAAAACGTGTCATCAAAGTTAACAACCGTATTCTGAGACTAAAATTTGAAGATAAATTCCAAACATTTTTGGACAATGAAGATATGCATGATTCAGAGTAAGAAGTTAAATTCCATAAGGAACATTTTTTTTAAATGCCAGATTTTATTTTGTAAAAATGTCTTTCTGCTTTAAAAGTTTACAAGATTGAAAATGTACCTTCTTAGTAAATATTTCCTTTCCATGCATCATCTTTGACCATGATGACCTCCTAGTTTACCCACATTTGGGCTTTTTTGGATACTGAGGGGGAGTGGAGGTTTAATAATGACACTGGAGCATCCAATGTAATTGGGATATATCCTGGGCAATCTTCTTATTTATGGGTAAGCTTATTAAAAATCGGCTCTCACATTTTTTTCCCTTTTTGTGTCTATTCTTGAGGAGCTATCGAAAGATGCTGGAATGCCTCTTCTATGTTTTTGATCCTGAAGTTACAGTGAAGAAAAAGCACCTGCTACAGATCCTTGAAAGAGGATTCAATGACAGTGAAACAAGCAAGGTAGCACGAAGCGCCCCAGAGCCACGCTGTCCTCCTGGCAGCAGAGCGCTGCCGCTGGCCAAGCCTGGCTTGCCTCTCAGGGCTCTCGTCCGCATGTGTGCGCAGCAGCCTCTGTTTCACAGAAAGCTAAGTGCCATCGTAGAAGCATAGCATCCTCATTCTTTGGATTGTACAAGACTAAGTCCATTGATTTATCTGGCATCTTATTTTTTATGTTGTGATCCTTTTGTTGACATCTTGAAATCTATTTCTTTAACCTGTTTTCAACTGTCCAAGGTCCTCTCCATCTTGAGAAAATACATACATTCACTTAACTGCTGTGCTTTCTAGCTGTCATCCGGTCTTTCTCTTTCCTTTTACTGCCACCACTTCTTCACTCTCTGCTTCACTGTCCCCACCCGGGTGCCGACGCTGCTCTGTTCCTGGCCACTCCTGAGCGCCACGGTATCGTCAGCCTTTCTCAGTCCTCGCCCTCTTGTGGAGGCAGCTGTAGGGCAGCAGTGTTTCCTAGCCCTCCTCACACCGTGGCGCGCATAAAAGGAAAGCAGTGCTGTGTTTGAATCCTGCTTCCCCACGCACCAGCTATGGGACTTCCCCTCGCTGTGCCTGTTTCTTCCTATCTGCAAAATAAAGATGATAATAGTACCTACTTCACAGAGTTGTAGTTAGGATTTAGTGAGATATGCATAAAAAGTTCTCGCATATCAATGTTCCTAACATCATTATTGACAAGAGACAAAAAGTAGAAACAACCCAAATGTCCATCGACAAATGAATGGGTAAACACAATGTATATATTTATAACACAGTATTAATCAGCCATAAAAAGTAGTGAAATTCTGATACATGCTACCACATGAATGAACCTTGAAAACATTATGTATGTGAAAGAAGCCAGACATCAATACTATATGATTCCACTTACAGAAGGTACCTAGAATAGGCACATTGGTAGAGACAGAAAGTGGAATAGGGGTCACCAGTGGGGTGGGAGAGCTGGGGAATAAGAAGCCATTGCTTGGTGGGTACAGAGCTTCTCTTTGGGATGGTGAAAAGTTCTGGAAATGGGTAGTGGTGGTGGTTGCACTGTACTTAATGCCCATGAATTGTACGTTTAAAAATGGTTAAAATGGTAGCTTTTAATATATTTTTCACCATAATTTTTAAAATGACCAAAAAAAAAGAAAAAGCCTCCCAGCTGCTCAGTGGAGAATGGATTGGAGGGAGTAGGAGCAAATGACAAGGGCACTATATGCAGGAGGTGCTAACAGCAGCTCAGGCCAGAGACCATGTGGCTTCAGCAGGGTGGTGTGCCAGAGTGCCCTCACTCACCTCCTGGAAGAGAAACGGAGGAGGTGGGATTGAGGGCTTTAGTCGGCAGAGTGCAGAGCTCAGGGTCATTGCCAAGAACTATGAACCATCATGGGTACAGAGGGTGGGGGGAGGATGGGACTAACATTTCTGGGTGTTTTCTGCCAGACGTTGTGCTAGTGCTTTAACTCCTGCATCTCCCAAAGGAGACGCAACATCTCTCAGCCCCGCAGCGGTCCTCTGCACTGCTCTGTCCAGTACAGTAGCCACTACCCACATGTGATGGCTTAGCGTTTGAAATGCCACCACTCAGAACTGAGATGTGCTCTAAGTTTAAAATTTTTGAAGACATGGTACAGAAAACAAGACTGTAATTTCTTATATTGATTATACATATTGAAATGATAATATTTTGGAAATATTCAAGTAAAATGTATTATTAAAATTTATCAAAAAGGTTCTTGGACCAGTTCCTGAAGGTTATCTACCTCTTTTCAGTGAGTCTGGGTCTGGTCTGCATTTTTTTTTTAACCAGAAATATAAACGTAAAATAATAAACCCACAATATTGAAGTTGAAGCACTGTCAATTTTGTAAAAATACTGCCTTTGTTTTTTCATTACAGCTGCCTCTCAGAAAAGAAGCTGTTATTCTTGCTAACAGCCTAAGTATGTGTGAGTGTCCCAGAATTGAATTTCTACAGCAAAAGTACAAGAATGAGAAGAAAAACTCTTTTGACAATGAGCTCTTTAGACATGGTAATACAATTATGCACTACTTCCGAACTTTTAAATTCTAAGTCTTTAAAGTCATTTTCATAACATTTTTGATACTTGGTTTTATCAACCTGGAAGATTTTCTGAAACCCATTTTAGTTAGTAGTTACCAGTGTAGTGGTACATGACTTTCTCATCTCTTAGTCAGGTTGTCAATAAATATTACTGAATGATTATTATGTGTCAGCATTAATAGGATAAGACTCATTTGTTACTCATATTTAATCCAACCTATGTGATATAAACACTTTTCACAGTCTGCTTTTGTTCATTGCATCTTAAAATAAATAAGCTTTATATATACATACATATATTTATACATACATATAAATATATATATTATACACATACACACATACCCCGCACACCCCAAATTCATAGGAAAGAGAAAAGAGAACTTGGCCCATTTATGCAATCACCATCATATAGAGCAGTCAGGAAGACAGGCCTTATTTGTCCTTAATTATAAAAATATAAGCTGAAAAGAAAATCTGGTTATGAATCCAAAATTGGCTAAAGACCCATTGCAAAGTATATAGATTGCTTTATGTTGTCTTTTTAAAGATAAACTTTTGATATTAATTTCTTCAGTCATCAGAACTTTATTTGCATCTTGAATATATGTAAATAAAAGTACATAACCTAGTTCGTAGGACACCTCTAGAAGAGGTTCCCTGGTACCTGCAGATTAGGGAAAAAGAACCGCTCATCGTGTCCTCTCTTGCCTGACCCCCTCCCGCTGTTCATTCTTCAGCCCCCCCCCGGTACTTAGCAGATGCTTACTGGTGGGTGTTAGGCACTTGGTAGGTGACAGGGAAAGTCAGTGCAAACTAGACACAGTTTCTCCTTTATGGTGCTTACAAACATTAATGATTATGCAAATAAATGTAAAATTACAGTTATCCTAAGAGCTACAAAGATGTGGTATTAATGGACAGTACCAAAGAATATATAATGAGGAGAACTGATCAGGTCTCGGGTAAGGGACGCCTATTTTCTGGTCTCAACTCTCCAGCCTCCTGAAGATTGAACAGTCAGAAATTTGGTTAACTTACTTATGTGAGTGATATTCTGGGTTCCAGACTATAGCTCTGCTAAGATGACCTATGTGTGTTTTGTAGTCTTTCATTCAGTTAATAATAATCAGAAAACTGAGATTATTGAATCTAGAAAGGATTCTTTATTTGAAAAAACGACTTAATTCTTTTTTCTCATTCGTCTCCATTCCCGCCCTAAGAAACACCTACGGTGTTTTTCTATATCCTTCTGAAATATGCTTTCCAAAGCAATGAGTTTCTACCAATTAACATTTTATAACTTATCCATGGTTTTTTAAAAAGTCTTCTGTATGTTTCCTGCACAGTAATTAGAAGTTACTCTAAGAAACCAGTGGCTCCTGGAGATCCTTGGGGTATAGTGGATCTCAAGGTTCCCTAACATCTCAAGGAGAAGGAGGTGTTTATCCTTCCCCTCAGGAGGCCTTTGCTGAATGTCTCCTATGCTCTAAGCCACAGGTGGATTTTTACATTAGCTAACATTAAGAACAACAGATTTCTTATTTTAAGTTACTTAATAAAAGCATTGCTAAATTACTGGGTTCTTTCTTTTCTATAAAGCTTTGCTTGATACAATCACAGGGGTCCCCTTTTATAACCATTTCGTTTATTCAACTAGTATTTACTGAGCTCCTCCTTTGGATCCAGCAATGTGCTATGTGCTATCCAGTGGCAACAAGACAGCCGGGATCTCTGCCTTTACAGAACATACAGTCAAGTCTGGGGCCAATAAGGAAAGTGATATTGGAAAATTACTAAAATGAATTATTGTTAAAAGTGTTTTTTTTTTTCAACTTAGGCATCCTCCTCATTACAAAGGCTTTCCTTGGCCAGAGTGGTCAGGCTCGTGAACAGGACTCCATCAGTCAAGCCAACTATCCAATGCTTAATTCAGTGTTCGTTCCTCGAAAATGTATACTAAGTATGTCTGCCATAAAGAGAAATGTGCTTTCATCTTTTTTTTACTTTATCTTTACTGTTGAAAGTATTACAGATGGTCCCTTTTTTCCCCCATTAATCCCTTCCACCCTGCATCCACCCCACCCCCAGGCCTTCCCCATAACAATGTCTGTGTCCATGGGTTATGAATATAAGCATATAAGTTCTTTGATTAATCTCTCCCCACCCACTCCTCCACCCCCACCTTCCCTCTGAGATCCCTCAGTCTGTTCCATGCTTCTGTCTCTGGATCTATTTTGGTCATCAGTTTATTTTGTTTATTACATTCCACATGAATGAGATCATGTGGTACTTGTCTTTCTCTGACTGGCTTATTTCACTTAGCATAATCATCTTTATGAATACAAAATGTTTGTATTTAATACAGTTGCTTATAATTTAACCTCTACTTAAAGTAGTTTGCAAACTTTTCTACAAAAAAAAAAATGTTCCTAACTATTAATGAGCTTCCATTTTTCTGTCCCCTACTTCAATGTCATTTATATGTGTGTGTGCAAATATTTTATTTTGTACAATTTTATATTTTACAGACATATAATCTTATATATGTATTATATATGATGTATAATATGTATTTCAGATAAAACCCACCCATCTCTTAACAACAAAGGTTTTAAAGTAATACATTTGTCAAAATTATGTGGTCACATATTGAATAGAAAAGGGAAAAAGTATGAAAGGAGAAATAATATGAATAAAAGTAAACCCCACTAATCTATGTAGTAAAAGGGCAACTAGTAAGTGTTTATAGAATTAACAAGCTATCTAGGCAGTGTGGGAATATATAAGAAAACAAAACAAAACACTAACTTAATACAGTAGTTGGAACTTACTGAATTTGTTGTTTATTAATCTATATAAGAATCAAAAAAGTATATAATGTTTCATTTTGAAGAGTTTGTTTTGCCTGTTTTTGTTTCTGATTTTACTCTAGATTCAATAGTGGGACAAAGAAACTGTGATTGCAGCTTTCGGCAGTGCAAGTGGTTCATCTTTGATCATGACCTTGTTTTGCCAGAATACATCGTTGAATTTGAGTATATTACAGTGGTATGAATGTATTTTTAAAACTAGGATTTACTTAAATGAGAAAAGAACATTAATTTGAAGTCTAATAATGTTATATCAAATTTATTTTATACATATGTATATATACTTAAATTTAAAAACAAATCATTTTTAATTGTGTCAATATATTACATGAGTAGCATATGGCTGAAGTCCCACTGGAAAGATTCAAACCCAATACTAACTTAATACAGTAGTTGGAACTTACTGAATTTGTTGTTTATTAATCTATCTAAGAATCAAAAAAGTATATTATGTTTCATTTTGAAGAGTATTGAAGAATATAGTATAAACATGAAAATCTGCTTTCACTTCATCCCCACTCCCTTTCATGAGGCATCCACAGTTAACATCTTTGTGGGTTTGTTTGCAAACTTTTTCTGTGCATTGACATATATAACAACACATACCATTCTACATTGTAAGATGTTCTAAGTATTCTGTGAAGATTTTTGCCTTTAACAATATATTTGGGGCATATTTTCTCTTCAGGACATAGAGGTCTATGCCTCATTCTTTTGGTAGGTGCATGCCATTCAGTAATACTCTTATTTATTGACTTACCTGTTGATGAAACATAGGTTGCTCTCAGTTTTATTACTATTCGAAGCAATATTTCAGTGACCATCATTATAGACACATCTTTACACAGATATGGATGTTTCTCTGCAGCATAGATTTGAAGAAGAATATGGATAGTTATTTTCAATTTTGATAGGTTTTGCAAGCACTCTCCAGAAAGCTTTTACCATTTTACAAATTTCCAACAGTGTATGACAGCATTTGTTTCTTTGCATCTTTACCAACACAAGATATTATCAATCTTTTTTCCCCCTCATCCTGATGGGCAAAAAAGGATATTTTATTCTTTCATGTGTTATAGATTATTTATAGTTTTATGAATCACCTGTTATAGCCTTTGACCATTTTCTATTGGACTCTATTGTTTTCATACTGATTGGAAAAATTCTTATATGCATTCTGGATATTAATCCTTTATTGTGCCTACATGTTCCAAATATTTTCTCTCACTTGTATTGTAATTTTACTCATATCAATAAAACTTGTCATTTTAATTTGTAATTTACACATTAATTTTTAAGTCAGATTTTTTCTCTGTCTTTTCTAGTATGTATTCTGAATTTGATGTCTGTTTCAGAAGGCTTATATAAATATTCTTTATTTTCTTCCAAGTCTTATATAAGTTGTTCTAAAACTTTTAGCTTTTTAGTTCCATCTAGGTATCATTTTATATTGTGTGAGGTACATAGGGTTATCAAATAATTTTTTCTTAAAAATGAATAGCTACTTGACAAGCATCATCTTTTCTGCTCTGCTTTAAAATACCATCTTTATTGTTAAAATTATTTTCACATACAAGGGGTCTATTTATAGATCTGTCTGTTCCATTCATCTCCTTGTCTAATGTTGGATCCCCTACCACATTATTTTGGTTATCACAACCTTGATGATATGTTTTGATAAGTGATGGGGCAAATTCCCTTCCTCTGCCAACTCATTTAAAAAAGAATTCATGGCTACTCTTGAGCATCTTCTTTTCTAAATAAAATTTAGAATCAGCTTATTAAGTTCTGTTTTTAAAATCCTATTAGAATTTGATTTTAAAACTTAATTTAGGGCAAAATGAATACTTTGCAGTATTGGGCCTCCCATCCAGGAACATGATAAGTTATTCCACTTACTCAAGTCCTCTCTTACAGTTTTCTTTATATAGGTCTGAGTTCTTGTTAAGTATAGTTCTGGGCATTCATATTTTATATTGTTATTATAAATGGGATTGTAATAGTCAAGTATGTTTTCAGCAAAAGACACAGAAACCCAGACAAACAGTATATAGAAGAAACTAAAATAAGAAGAAGCTGAGAGGTGGGTAGTTTCTGACGGTTGTGACTGTTCAGTGACGTCAGCAAAGACACCAACTCCATCTTTCTTCTGCTGGCTGCTTCATGAGCTCTTGCAATCTGAAAATTCAGTTCTTTCTTCACTCCAGGGAAGTTTTCTTCTCTTAACTCCTTGATTATTTCCTCTCTTCTGTTTTCTGTCAAAGCCCCTGGAACCTTTATTAATTAAACATTGGAATTCTGAATAGATCATCCATATCTTGTAATTTTTTTCTTTCATATTTTACGTCTTCATTTTTAAAATTCAGTGTTCTGGGAGATTTTGCAGTATTAGCTTCCATGTTGCTGATTTGATCTGCTGCCATATCCATTTGGTTTTTCAAAGCATTTATTGAACTTTTTTTCATTTATTGTTTTCACTTCAACTTTGAAGTGTTTGCCCTATTTTTTCTATAGTAGATGCTTTATTCTATTATAGATGCTTTATTCTCCCAGATTTTTGAAAACTCTCTTATAGACCATTTTGTTTTTTTCTAGAGCCTTTCTGTGTGCTCATGTTGTTTTGTTCACCCATACGTAATTCTTACCATAATTACCTAATTACCTGATTACTAATTACCTGGAGCATCCTCCTGCTATTTTACTTCAACACTCTGAACACCAAGTTTCTCTGGACCTGCTCTTCGAAGTGGTTATCTCCTGCATATATTTTGGCTAGAGGTTACATTTCTGCTCCTATTTCTGTCAGTTCAGTCCCTTCTGATTTATGTCTCACAATTTCTAGTTTTTTGTTGGTGCTCTATCCATGGTCATAAAATTTTTTAAATTATTTTTTGCTAGTTTTAAGAAATCTTTAGTGGGAGGGGATGAATACCCTACACCTATTCTTAGCCCACAATTTTAACGTACTCTCATACATTTCCTAATGTAATCCTGATCATCATCGATATTACTATAGAACTGAAAAAACTTACATTTTCTAGATAGCTTATTTCTTTTTCAAAATGATAAATACAGCAACAAAATTTTCAATATTTTTAATAAATTTTTTAGGTCAAGGCTCAATCTTTATTTTCTTCATTCAACAATGTTATTCTAGAAGAAAGCAAAAAATTTTCAGAAGGATCAGTATTGTCTCAGGAATTGAAATTTGATGATGAAGTTATAAAAATGGACCCTAGAATCAAGCCCAAACCAAAACTTATTAGTTTGGATGATAAAACAATACTTTCCCTTGCCAAGACTAGCATATACAGTAATATTGTGGTAAGTATTATGTTGATAAAATTTTGGGACAAGAGCCTTGAATTTGGAATCAGAATCTATCATGAAATTTAAAGATATTACACCACCTATCTGAAGATGCCAGGCATCCTTCTGTCAAATTCAAAAGTGCCCAACCCTTTCTTTCTCTGTGGACTAGATCTGTGTTTTCTGGTAGTAATATAATAGTAACCACATATGTAACTTTAAATTTTCTGTTAGCCACATTTTAAAAGTTTTTTAAAAACTGGCCCTGCCCAGGTGGCTCAGTTGGTTAGAGCATCATCCTGATATACCAAGGTTGCAAGTTTAATCCTCAGTCAGAGCACATAGAAGAATCAACCAATTAATACATAAATAAGTAAAACAAATCAATCTCTCTCTTTCTCCCTCTCCCTCTCTCTCTCTTGAAAATCAATAAATAATAAATAAATAAAAAATTAAAAGGCAAGGTTAATTTCAGTAATATATTTTAGTTAATCCAACATACCCAAAATATTACCATTTCAACATGCAATTGATATTAAGATTCATTAATCAGATAGTTTCATAATAAGTCTGAGTTCCAGAGTATAGTTTATACAAATCCCAATTCAGACTACTCACATTTCAGGTGCTCAATAGCTACATGTGACTAGTGGCTACCATACAAGACAGTGTAGGTCTAGAGGTATCCTGCTAGTTTGCAAGGGATTTTATTCCTGAGTAGCAAATAAACTCTCCTTAAATTATTAAGATGAAGACAGATAAGTTTCAAACCAGTTTCCAGGATTAATTAACACAAAATATAGGAGCATTACCTTTACAAAATTAGTCAACAGAATTGAATTAACTTATTGAAATGACTTACTTTTACTATGGCAATTCTACCTCCTTAAGCCTCCCTCCTTATCTTGACTTTCAGATCTGTCCATTTCATCTCTGCTACCATTCTATACAAACTACCTTTATCTCTGGCCTAGACGACTGCCATAGCCTTCTACCAGTTCCTTCTACCATCGCACCGTTGCCCAACTCCAGGAGGCACCGTGCATGGCATATTAATGTGCATGGTTAATGAGTTCTTTGGATGCCATTCATTATATAATTCAATATAGCACAGTAAAAGGTGGAGGGGGTGCCTCCCAGAGCTAGGCAACAGACGTCTGTCCTGCTTCCACTGTGAACCCCCAACTCATTCTCCATGTTGAAGCCAGAGTAATACCTTCAAAATGTAAATCTGATCATGGCACATTTGTCACCCCTCACGACTTGTACTTGACATCCTCAAATGATTTTCCATTGTTTTAAAATAAAACCAAAATCTTTTCTATGGCTTATAAAGTTTTGCATGGCCTGGTCCCTCAGCTACCTTTCCAGACTCTTCATATTACTCTCCCTTTAGCTCTCTGTGCTCAGCCTCCTTCCTGTTTCTGAAATGCACTCTGCTTGCAGCCAACACAGAGCCTCTGAACTTGTTAGTCTTTCTGCATGGAATGTTCTCCCCAGACACCCTTCTCTCAGTGAAGTGCCACACATATTTTAGATATATACTTAAGCATTAAAGTCTTCTCTTGCCTGAGTCTACGTCGTATTCCTTTGTTCTATGCTGGGTATCCTTCCAAGACACTAAATTCCACAGAGGCAGAGGCTGTGGTGGCTCTTAATCACGTACATCCCAGGACCAGGGCAATATAAGACTGGGCAGTATGCATTGCACAAGAGGGGCACCTTTTAAATCATAAAGTAGTATGTTTACTACAACAATTTTCTGACAACCTGTGGTAAAGTTTCTTTTTTTAAAAAAAAATATATCTTTATTGATTTCAGAGAGAGGAAAGGAGAGGGAGAGAGAGAGATAGAAATATCAATGATGAGAAAAAAGGAGAGGGGGAGAGAGAGAAATATCAATGATGAGAGTCATTGATCGGCTGCCTAGCCCACAACCCGGGCATGTGCCCTGACTGGGAATCGAACCCCGATCGCCTGGATCCTAGGTTGATGCTCAACCCCTGAGCCACACCCGCCCAGGCTGTGGTAAAATTTCTTGTATTAACAAAAGTGGCATATTGTGACAATTTTCTAAAACCTGGAAAAAAAATGTCTTAAGGAAAGAGTGCCTTTTTTCTAATTGACTCAAACACTGTATGGATCAGCTCTACCGTTTATCTAGCACAATACCTGGCACACATGAGATATTCATTAGCAACCTGCTAAAAAAAAAAATGTCTTCATAAACAGCAAGTGGTTCTTACAGAGAAAGTGGGTTGTTTACTTGAACCTGCAGAACTGACATTTGATTGATAAATTCATAAGAATACTTGAGAAGACAAGTTATTCTTATACAACACTGTCTTTCTATGTTTGCTCTGAAAGCTGAGATACACATAAAAATTCAGAAGTGATTTGTTATTGTTTGTATTAAATGTATTGGGGTGACATTGGTTAATAAGATTATATAGGTTTCAAGTGTACATTTCTTTGATACATGATCTGTACATTGCATTGATTTTTACTATCTTCTAAGTCAATTACATTGCTCCATTGTGACACTTCTAGATCCATTGTTTGTGATGACAACTTTTTTCTCAAGTGACTGTGTGAAACAAAAGGAGAATGCAAAATTATTCTTTAAAATAGTAAGTGAAGTTAATAGTTTTAAGTCTGCTTCTGAAAATATTCAGAAAACATCTTTTTCAAGAAGTTTAGGGATTGCTTTGGTGAAAGTGCATTGTTAGCATCCACCAAATCTCAAAGAGAGTAAGTCCCTACCTAACCAGTTATTCTTAGAGAGGAAGGAAATCTTCACAATGTAATGGCAATAATACCATCTTCTTCGTAAATGTGCAGTACAGTGATGACAGGAGGAGCGATCTTCTAGCTGAGAGTATGGAGAAATTAGTTTCTGCACTGTAACATCAAGATTTCATATTTGAGCAATAAATTTTTGATAGTAAAGCCTTAGTAATGAAAGGTATAATAAGTGTTCTGACTGGATTAAAACTCCATAATATGTATTCCTGAGGGCTTAACGGGATTAAATAAAAGTTTAAAACTACAACAGAAAGTAGGTCTTTTTATTATGTTTGGTTTCTAAGATGAAAAGCCAAGGCGGGG